ATTAAATCCACTACCATAATTGCTTATTCTTGAAAATACGCATATTTCGTCTACAATGTGCAGACTTCTTCAATGTATTGTGCTAATACTCGACTCAACTTTTCGGAATCGGAGAAGTTGGGGTAATATGAAACAGGAGTAATAAGAATTATTTTCGACTGCTATTTGCAATGCAGATTTAATTTTTGTTTTTTAACTCAAATTACACCTTTTAAAAAATAAATAATAAAGGACCTAAATTAGATCCCTGTGGAACTCCCGAGGTAACATTTGTTCTCTAAAGCGGGCCATTTGTGTTCTTTCTGTCAACTATGATCCAATCCATTATAAAAGTGTACTTGTCATACCTAAACGTTTTAATTTAAAAAGTAGTAAGAGGATGTCTACTATTTTGGCAGCGGTACTAACCCTCTCGCTGTTGTGTGTTGCCTTCTGTCTTTGTTATTAAAATATGTGAATTTTCCAAACAACAACAACTCATACAGACGAAACTCTACGGATTGTAAACAACTGGTTACATGACCAAGACCTATTGCATAATCGACAACTCAGTTCAGAATTCTCACACCAGGCGACACGAGTGTACGATTTGACTTTCAATTATTTGCTTTGACTTGACAACTCAACTAGATGGTTGCTGTTTTTGACAAAGTTATTGAGATTTATCAGACCTATTACCACCGACGAACCAACGTGACAGCTCATACAAGCTACTTTCAAATTCGTGCCCAAGACGACCTATTTAAAATACGTTAAACACTACCGACATCTACTCATCCGATCGCGTCAAACCAAGAGTAAGGACACGAACCCACGTATAATTTATATTGCCTTGATTTGCGTCTCACCTCGTTTGACAGATCTGATCGCCCGTTTGAAAGTTCGAATCGCTCGTTTGACAATTCGAATTGTGGACAAACGAAATACTCCTGTTGCATGTTGGTTCGTCGGTGCTATTACCTCACCAGGCGGCGCTAGTGAACCAAGCGACTTGCTGCTTTTGGAAAAGTAGTTGACTTGGACAAGACTTATTAGATGATGTAGAGTTTAGTTTAGCCGTTTTGTGACTACCGTCGACATATTATATTCACTCAAAAACAATAACTAGTTCTGCCAGCTGCATAAGAGATACAGATTTGAGTTATTGACAAAAGTTATAGCTGATTTCAAAACATAGTAAAGCTCATACATCATCTTATAGTACGTTCAGACTACAGATTTAAATTCAAAGGGATGATGTTTCTCAGAGTTTTAAACTATGTTAATCATTGATCGAGCTTCCACTTGCTGCAATTACGGCCTCCACATGCTTCCGGAATGCACGGCAGTTTCTAATAATGTAGTCTGGATCCATTTCTCTCCAGGTATGGGTCAATGTTTGTCTGAGGCTTGCTGTACTCGAGTGGCGTTTAGAACAGGCCTTGGCCTTCATGACGCGCCATATTGAGTAATCCAGCGGCTAGATGGCGGCCACATATCCTTCGCCCAGAACGGAAGATGTTCCTGCAACCAAGTGCGGTTCGAGGTGTGGCACGGAGCCCCATCTTGTTGAAATACAACATTTGGCTTCGGACCGTACTGTTCTTTGATCCACGGAAGAACATACTTACTTAAAATCCCGATGTAGACCTCCGTGTTGACCTTGTCACCTTCTGGACACCGGATCCATTTTTTTGCCTTCGGAAGCCACCAATCCAAACACCGTAACGCTAGCAGGATGCTTGGTCAGATACACGTTCTTGTGCTCGTCGGCCACGTCTTTTACCGGAAGAGAACTAATATACCGGTCGGTTCTGGAATTTGATACGGGATCGACGGTAAACATGCTCTCGTCGGTGAACAGGATTACCGGATTTTTTCGCTTAAGGAAGTTCAAGATTTTCTTGCATCGTTCGACTCGTAGCTCCCGGATGCGGTTGGTAATCATGTGAGTTTTTTTTCCGTGCCCTCGACTTCGCCCCGCAATCTTCCTTTACGATCTTCCGTGCGGTAAAGTCACTGATCCCGTGTTCCTTTGCCATTTTCCTTATTGAACGCACTGGATTCACCTGAATCTTCCTTTTGATAGCAGCGATAACCCTCGAATCCCGAGCTGACCTCGGACGACCTGTGGCCACCTTCGCGGATAGTTGTCCTTTCTTTTCTCGGTCTAAAACCCTTTTGACGGTCCACCGGGACACTCCCACGGCGATTGAAATGTCTTTTTGCAACATTGGCGCATGGGACAAATCACGAATACGCTGCCACTTCGTCATGGTGCAACTGTCAAACTAAGTAAATCATTTTCTTTTATACACAGCCTACTACGGTATGAGCTATAGGTTACGTTCATGCAAAGAAAACCAAGGCATTGTATGCACAGGTGCAACGGGAACCTTATTTGTACGATGGTGCAAACATTATCACGCATACGGTACATCATTTCAAAAGCAAATTTTCATTATGTCGAAAGTAACATTTGAACCGATGCGAGAAAAATTAAAGTTTTGTATTGATGACCAAAAAGTTATTCCTATTTTCAATTAAACACATATAATCTCATAATGATAGCAATGTTCAACATATTAAGCAGGTTTTTAATCATACAAAGCAGATCGCTAGCTTTCATGCTAAAAAATACTGGTTTTTTTAGTCAAAAGTTATTATACGTCGTTTGGTGGCCCCTAATGTTGCTTAAGTCAAAGTGTATTTACCAGGATATTCTGGAGAATTTTAATCACGTCTTCTTACGTGCAGCCCATTCATCATTTTAGGATCACTGAAATTATCTAGCAACAAACAGTTCGGTTTATTCACTTTAATAATGAGAAAGCGAAACGACGAACGTACACTTTGTCAAAAAGCAATTTGACTGGTTAATAAATTTAAAAATGGGATGTGATCCTATATTCGGACAGTATATAGTGTAATAGCAGGAGCATCGATTGACACTGATAGCTCGACTTTGTTTACCTTTGTTACTTTCGATGTAATGAAAATTTGCTCTTGATTTGAAAGAGCTTTGATTTCACAAAACTAACAAATTGACAGAAATACCGTCGAGGGTCGCTGAGATGGTGATGTTTGCTCATATAATCGCACTTATTATCCAGTGCACTTAAATTGATGAAACTTTGGATTTCGGTTCCACTGTTAATGCTGATTACAAATATGCAATAACCTCCATACCCCTAAAGAATCCATTTGTCAACACGTCCTCACCTATACTAGTAGACCGCCGAAAGGCGCTTAGTTTCAGGCCTACTAGTTTCAGTCCACAAAAATTGATGTTTGAATGCAAATAACGAATATGCAATTGGGTTCTTTAGGGGTATTGAGGTAAATAAATATAAGTAATCTGCAGTTCAAATGGAACTGAAATCAAACATTTTATAAATTTTGGCTCATTGGAACTATTTTAAATAAGCGCGATTACATTAGTAAAAATCACCATCTTAGCGCCCCTCGTTGGGACTTTGCATGGAAGCGAGCTGTAAATTTGTTAGTTTTATGTCAAACAGTGGCGTGGTTGTTTTGCTTGAAATCTTGATTTAAATCGAGGTGGAAGTAAATGGGATCGAATAAAAATATCGTTGTGCTCAGAAAATGAAGCCTTTTCAGATGATGTATAGTAACCGATATATTTTTCAAAATTAAAGAACCCAATTAATTAACCTTATAGAGCCAAATTAAATACACTGGAGTCGCTTTTTACGCGGGTGATACGTCCCGCGTAAAAAAAACCGCGTAAATTCCGGAATCCGCGTAAAAAAAAACCGCGTAAATTCCGAAATCCGCGTAAAAAAAAAACCGAGTAAAAAAAGACCGTGTAAGAAAAAACCGCGTAAAAAGCGATATACCGCGTAAATTCTGAAATCCGCGTAAAAAAAAACCAAAATCCACTTAAAAAAAAAACCGCTTAAATTCCGGAATCCGCGTAAAAAAAACCGCGTAAATTCCGAAATCCGCGTAAAAAAAAACCGCGTAAAAAAACCGTGTAAAAAAAAACCGCGTAAAAAGCGACTCCAGTGTAATTCAAGAAGGGTTGATAATTCTGCAACATCAGTAAAGTTCAATTTTATAGCAAACTGTGTTCGCTTGAAGCTTTTCTCTTCCGCACAATACGCAAGCTTTCATCACTTTGAAGACCAGGCGTTGTAATGCTTCCAGCCAAGCTGAACGCGGGCAGCATACATTTTGGCGAATCTGGAAACGATAAGCGATTGTGTCAGTGGTGAATAAGATGCTACACGACCGATGAGACTAACTCAGAAGAGAACCAGGCCTTCTCCGATTTGCATGAAACTTTGCATTTGTTTTTTTTTATTGATCTTTGTTTTTGTTTTGCAGGATTCAAAATGGCGGAATTTGAACTCAAAATGTGAATGATTGACCATAACAAACAATTATCAGGGTGGCCAGCGAACCGGTAAAACCGGGAAATAATAGGGAATTTGAAAAGTTACCGGGAAAACCGGGATAAAACCGCGAATTCTGTGGGAACCAAGAAACATTAATAAACCCTAACATATTCTTCGTCTAAGCTGGACTCCTACGGCCTGACATCGAGCATCCGGGACCTGCTCGGGGACGAAACCCCAGCATCTGAAGCTCTAGTCGAATTTTTAAAGGAGGCCAACTTGTTCTTCCGTATTTAAATTTCTGTATCGTAGTTTGTTTGTTTAGTATTTTACATCAATGCATCTTAGTTTGTAAAAAAAAGTGTTCATATTGAATAACTGCATTACGAAGAGCCAGGTTTGTAAATAACAAGCTCTGTATTTGGGGGTCCTCCTTCTGAGACCTCCTTTTTTATTTGGAGATGAACTAACTAGCGGCTAAAAATATCCTTAATAAAGTTTAAAAATCTTCTAAGCTTTCTACGCTTGAGTAGCGAGTGGTTTTCCATTCTCCACCAAGCCTATAAATATTCTATTTCAAGCGCTGGGTTACCAGGGTCGTGTCCGAGAGCTAAACCTATCCTTCAACCAACTCACCGATGTCGACTTTCAGGAACTCACCTTCAAGCCCAACAACTGACCAATCAACATTTTACAATTGCACTTAACCTCCTTCGGCTGTGATTTCTGCTCCGTCACGAATCTCCCCGCCCAAAATCGATCTACCAATGTATTCAACGTTCCCTTCACTTCCTCCTTCAGGTACTCGCTACCCCCACTAACAAACTCACTAATCACATTCCTAATCGGCATTATGACCAGTAGCAGTCCCTTCATGGTCATCTTTTCAATCAGCTTCCGGAACGATTCCACCTCCTTCCCAACTTCGATCAAACTGTTCTGAAAAGCCAAGGCCTTCCGCACCAGATGCTTGAACAGTTCGATCGTCTTGAGTGGAGGTTCTCTGATCTCAAAGTCTTCCGGTAGCGACTCCAGCACCATCCGGAAGAATTCAAGTATCACCCCCAGATTACAGTTGTAGTTGGAAACGCAACGGTCATCGCCTTGATGGCCTCGCTCATCCCGCAAGCATACCGCGATGACTTTTGACCGGTTTTTAGCTAATGTTTCGATAATTTGTGCACTGTGAGGAATTCATGGCAGAACTTCACCGGAAATTCACGGTTATGAAACCAAAAATTGGATTGTGTCAACAACAATGATTAACATTTTGACACATGCATGGATCAGACGCAGGGTGCCATTGAAAGTGTCCAGGTGTGCCCATCTGTATTTTTGGCACACTGTGTGAAATGACCAATAGACTGATGCAAAATTTGAAATTTTCGCTCCACAGTGCTCGGTTCCAAATTGGGTCCTGCTTAGCCTCCCAAAATTTGAACTACTTTAGTAAGAAACTGACTTGGCACAAACTATTTCAAGTTTATATGGGAATTACTATGGGAAAACTTATGTTTTTGTTCATATCTATCTAACAATTCACCACATCACTATGGTTTTAAACATGATAGCAGAGATTGTATCGAATTTTTTGTAGCTACAACTTTGTTCCAAACTACTTTTCAATCAAATGTGAGTTATTAATGATTCAAGTCACTGATGTCTTATGATTATGCTCATTCAACTGTTCAGCAGGCAACATTGGTGTTTCTGGTGCGAAGAATAGAGCACAAATATCATGGCTACTATGTCACACTGCAGAATACAGTGTTGCCCACAAAACAGCTTCTTGATCATGCCATAAGATTATCAATCTCTTAAACAATTAATAACAATTTAATTTGACATTTGGTTGAAAACCGAGATTCCGCAAAGTTGTAGGTTAGAAAATTTCCCGTAAGCATAGTTATAGAAATTTTTGAAAAAGCTATATGGAAAATGGGCAGAAGACAATGACCCAAAAGTTTGGTTTTCCCATAGTAATTTCCATATAAATTTCGAATAGTTTGTGCCAAGTCAGTTTCTTACCAAATGAGTTTAAATTTTAGGATGCTAATCAGGACCTGATTTGAAACCGTTTGAGCACTGTGGAGCGAAAATTTCAAATTTTGCATCAGTCTAGTGACCAACCCCTTGCCTCAGACCCGTTTATGTTGATGTTTAATTTTTCTTTGTTGAGGATGTTTACAATCATTAGTGATAAATTAATCATACTTTTTCATTGATATGAATAAATTTGGACAGCCTTATTACTTGATTTATTACTTTACAATTTAATTGAAGGATATGATTTCGAGTGTCTTTCAAACGAATCTGTTTGAGGGACGTAAGCCTTGGTGTTGGTCCTGATCGTTGAATTTTTTTTGACAGCACCAGTTTTTTTTATGACAGCCATTTCGAGTGACTCCGCACCTCTTAGGTCGACACATATCTTGGAAATTTTCTTAAATTCCAAATTTACTGAATACTTTCAATTCATGCTGAATATGAACAACCGGGAAATTAAGACTCGTCAAGTTTTCAAAGTCACTTTTCCAAGTGTTATGCATATCCTTCTTTGTAAGAAGGGCAAACATGTTTCAAAACAACAAATACACCTGTTTATCTGGCATCCCCGACATAAATGATCCTAGATATGATTTAAAATTTTAAGAACACCCTTGTGGTAAATTGTGCCAAAATAAATTTAAAACAATTTTTGTGACATTACTCACAAAATTTGCTAGACAGAAGAATCCACGGGGAAAGCGAAAACAAACAGGATACATTTCTGTGACGTTGAACACTTTCTCACCTTGACTTTCCTCATTTCTGCCACCATATGGTCAGCACACATTTGCAAACCAACGGAACGCCTGTAATCATAAATCGTTGCACTGAGAAATTTCTAAATGCAAACCAATTATCGCAATGCTATGTGTGATTGTCGCTCACCGTCAACACAATGCAAAAAGGAGCTACATGCTTTCCGCTAGCCACACATCCAACAATTGTATCTGAGCTCACCAATAAGAAGAAGAAGCCATTAGCTAGCAGTTAGCCGCCAAATGACTTTGTGGAAAACCAAACAAAGTAGGCAAAGAGAAAATTCGCGTGTAATCACAGCAAATAACAGCCAGATCCAAGCAAACAGGCACGTGTGCACAGAGGACACGGTTACCAAAGTGACGTCTACGATGACAGCTGTTTTCTAAAAAACCATCAGGGGGTGGTGTCGATGAGTGCACAAGATAATAGATCCTTTGCATACACATACGACGAACCATCCCATCAAAGGGGAGGCGAAAATGGGAAAACAAATTGAACGGAATAATTTAGAATGGCTTTTTGCGATATGGTTAGTTGTTGCATGATTGTCTACCTTGAAAGGTTTGTTTACACCTCGTGCGGGTTATTCACATTTTTTTTAATGATTTTTGTTTGTCTTTGCTTTGTTGGTTGTGACGCAGGTAACCGGCGCAGTGCAGTTGTTCATTTGTGAAGGATTTAAATTAAATTGATTGTAACATCAAATTATGCAATTCTGCAATGGCTGGGGAAGTTTCCAAATGGTTATGCAAATGTTACTTGAGCAAATTATCGTTTTGGTTAGACAGATGGTTAAACTATATACACAATCAAAAAAAAATGAAATGAACATTCGAATTCACCGGAAATATTTATTATTGAAAAGAGAAAAAAAAAACAATACTGAAAGATTTATATTTATCAAAAAGAAAACTCAAACATACATTTCATTTGAATTATTTGTTTCACCTACGAAAGAAGCCACGGAAGCAACTCTTATTATACAACTCATCATTCACGTAAACCTAGATGAACTAATCGTAACCGCCCAACTTACAAAGACAACTCATGACCCCGTTAATCCACGAGGTCAAGCCGAAAACCGTTAACCAAATCTCCAAAAACATCCTCTAGTGCCCCATCTATGACTTAATAACCTTCAATTACATACCACACACCAGCAGCGAAGAATTCTAGAAACGCGCCAGACCATCAATTTGCGAAACATCGCAAACGACGACCGCCGCACGTTCCGATCAAAGCAAGCGTCCAGTCAAATTACCCATATGAACGATGACCAGAAGAAAAACAAAGCTACCTCTGAAAAATGTCTATGCGCTCCAGATTCCCTATCATTTCATTGCTTTCCGTTTTAGTTGACTAGTGGAGAAAAAAATCGAAATCAAAGTCACAAGATTCAAGCAGAGAACAGGGGAGGGGGGTGTCAAGGGAATCGGTTTTTTGTGTCCAGTCATCACCCAGATCTGTAATCAAGGTGAACTAGACCAACCAACGATAGATCAATGTTGCTGTGAATGAAAAGAACGCTTTCCATGAATCGTTTTTGTCCAATCCAGTGCCAGTATGACTGGACAGGAGAAATTAGCTCCCAGGAAGAATCGGATTACTATTTGGAAGGAAGCCAAGCGTAGAAAAGTGCTGGGATCGACGCGGATGTGCAATCAACCAAGCGTCTCCATCGAAATCAAGAAGGTCAATAACATTGATTGTTTGATTCATTGTCACTTTCTTTCCATGCACTATTGAAAACAGTTTTTCATGGTGGTGGCGGCTAAAAGTGTTCTTCTTGCAAGCACTTTCTCGCTCACCATCATCAGGTTGCTGTGGCGACGCGTTCCACCGACGCATGCTTTGTCACGCCGTGGGTATTGTTGTACCCTGCAGCCTACTACGATGTGGATGGAGCAAGTCATGCTCGAGCAGTGTTGGCGCGGTGGTGTGTTAGCACTGCAATTTCTTTCGACGCCAAGTCCACCGCAAACCCCAAGTCGTTTGTGATGAACGGGAGCGGGAGAAAAGGGAGGAACATTGGGCGCCTCTATGAGGTACGATCTATTCATAATTTTTGTCTTATCCGCGCCTACCGGGTGATGTGCTGCGCTGCAAGCAAAGACGGATGGGAGGCGACAATACAATACACACATTATTGGCAACAGAAGCGACTGAAAGCGGAAAACTATATTAGTAGGTTAGATTGACTCGTTCGGTTCAGTCGTTGGGGAGATGTGGACACGCGAATAATCCTGTGAATTTGTGCTCAAGTGATTGCTGGACCCTGTGAACCTTCGTGAAAAACATTTAAAAAGTGAATCAATCATGTGGAAAGTGACAAGTCTCTTGCTAATTTGGCTATCGCTACGGATGGCAGCAAGCGAAACGATCCATTTTACAAATTCTGTAAAGCATTTGAAAACGACAAAGAACTTTACCACCTATGAAGTGGAAGTGCCGGGATCAAGACCGATAACGATCATCGAAGCGAATCCAGAAATGACAAACAAGCTGAGGGTGAAACCGGTATCGATTCAGTACCGGAACTCCATCGGAACCAGAGTCGAAGATCACGCCCATGTGGTTAAGGATGACGGAACGAAGCCAGGATCGGCGAAGAAGACACTGTACTCGCCGGATTTGCTGCACAAATTTCTCAAAGAGTACTCGGAAAAGCTGAAGAATGCAGACTCTGAGACGAAGCAAAAACTAAACGAGATTTCAATGATCAACAACAAGCAGACGGAGAAACCAGAAGATGCATCAGAACGGCCAGAGAAGGAAGATCAGATGCAATTTTCCGATGTACATGAGAGGCACGTGGAAAATAGCAAGTGGTATGGTGATAACCGGAAGAATCACCCTTGGAACTCCAAAGATGGTTGGGTCACGATGGAAGCCGTGCCTTGGTCGGAGAGCAAGGTTTCAAAGTGGCAAAGTAATTCCAACAAGCACAACAACATTCGGAATCATAATTCTTACCAAACCCAGTGGCCTGATAGTGACAGTGTGGAAATGCCTTCGCGACCAAAACCTTCGTTCACAGTAACCTCGCCCGCTAGTAGTTACTATGGCAGCAACGATGACGACTACAACGATAGTCCGTACTCCTCAGGTCATCCAAGTTACACTACCGTCAGCGAGAAACCTTCCAAACCGGTTTTTGAATCATTCTACAACCGTCGATACCGACCTTCGGAGGACTACAACCGTAAGTCTTCCCCGTACAACCCGGATTACAC